ATTGTGACACTGAGGGCAACATGGCCTCAAGCCTGCGTTCTTAGTTGGAAAAAGACGTCTAAAAGTCTCATATTTAATTTGACCAAACTTGAGGCTTACTGACAGACTGACAAAATATTTAACGTTGTGTGTATGCGATAGAATAAATTGTACACTACATAGTGTAACAGTAGCACAAGGCACTTAAAACTTACTCTGTTCTTGATGTGTTTCCTCTGTGCTGAATCTCCTTCCTGTCTACTGGAACCTCTTTCCTGGTTCTAGAGTGCCTACCACATGTTCACCACCAACACATGTCTGAAGCATATGATCAGTAAGGTTCGTCGGGATGCTCATCACTTTGAGCGCTATCAGCACAACAGGGACCTGGTGGCCTTCCTCAACATGTTTGCTAACAAACAGCTGGAGCTGCCCAGGGGCTGGGAGATGAAGCACGACCACACCGGCAAGGTAGGGCTGATCAGTCAGTGCCCCAGTGTCTACATTTCAGATCCTCAATAGTATCTAACTGTTCTACACTTATTCTGTCAAGTATTTCTTACTTTTTAAAAATTGTAACCAAATTAAAAATGACACTTGACAGCTTGTATGTGTATCTGTGTGCACACCCATCTAGCCTTTCTTTGTAGACCATAACTGCCGTGCCACTACGTTCATTGACCCCCGGCTGCCTCTCCAAAGCTCTCGGCCGCTGAGCCTCCTCGCTCACCGCCAACACCTGACTCGCCAGCGCAGCCACAGTGCTGGAGAGGTGACCACTCGGCGACTGGTAAGGGACACGTGACGATCACGGACAGCAGAGAGTACAGCTACTTAAATTGGTCCTCTAATCACAACAGGAACAGTTACATGTTTTCTTGCTCCACTTACATATCATGTGAACCTGGCAGCATGTTTGTTGACATCCTGTTTTATAGCTGGGTGAGGACCCTCGTCATGTTAGCCCACCTGTTCTTCCACGACCTTCCAGCACCTTCACATCCACCAACAGAGGGCAATGCCAAGACCTAATACCAGTGGGTTAGTGCATGCACAAGCACACACACACACACATGCACGCACACACACACACATGCACACACACACACACACACACACACACACACACACACACGCACACACACATGCACATGCACACAATGACACATGCACGCACACACACACATACATGCACACATGCACACATGCACACATGCACGCACACACACACATACATGCACACGCACACATGCACACACACAAACACACAAACACACACACAAGAATCTGAGGGGAAGAGATGAATACATTTGACAAAAATTGTCTGTTCCCTTTTTTCTAGCTTACAATGAGAAGATTGTGGCATTTCTACGACAACCGAACATCTTTGAGATTTTGCAGGAGAGGCAGCCTGACTTTAACCGGAACCATGCACTCAGGTACACACATACAGAACTGCAGAGCTGGACGTTTATATAATGCTTTCCTTAGTCTGGTGACTAGATTTTTTCTTTGTTCTCAGTTACTTTGATGCAGTGGCATCTGCTGTGATACTTACACATAATGGCCCCTTAAGTCTTGCAAGTGTTCACTTTAGTTTGATATCAAGATGGTTACACAGAGTTTTTATTGCAGAGAAATAATCAATTCATTTTGGGCATGTCATTTTCAAGCACGAACCCCGGGTTGTAAAAGTTTAAGAGTGCTATTTTTCATGCTTGAAATATATTCAAAAGGCATTTCTCGTGCCAGGACTCCACAAACTCCACAAACAACACCACTATGTGTCATTGATACTTTACTGCCGCACAAATATGGGAGGAAAAACAGCTTTTCTAAATGAAATGTCTGGTACACAAACATTATTTGAAATCTTCTTCACTATCCAATCCCTCTGATCCACATCTCCACCGCCTGAACCCTCAGACCTGTCGTCTGTTCCCACGGTTTAAGTCGAGTTTAAGTGCAAGTTTTCAGAAAACTCCACATAGACCTCATGATTGCTCCACGGGTCTCAAATGACAAAAAG